TTCACTCTCTTTCTCTTTGTGTCTATCTCGCCTCTTTCTCGACCTGTTGTGTGTGGGTGTATGTGTGTGTGCTCGTTAAATCTGAAATCTTGCGGAACACTCGGCGCGCTAAAGGCCAGGACGAACGAGTGGCCGTATCGATTGCGGGGCTCCATTGTTGGCTAATTTCGAGGAACTGTTTCGATTAATGGGATCGACCGACTTAACGTGAAGACGCGAGGTTAAGTCCACGGTTTATTCGCAACCGGGAATCGATTTTGACGAAAGTCGAGTGAAATCGATTTCACTATATGCAATTACTACACCGATGTTCGTATTTCCACGATGACTAAAGTTCCAAACTGCTTTGTTATTTAATCGTCAAGTTGATCAAGCGCGTGATTTTGAATTAAAATCTCTCTTTGAACATTTATATTACAATTATAAGGTGAAATTAATTTTTAATAGTATTGTTTCTTCAAAATTTTCAATTTATTCGAATACTTATTAAAGCAAAAGTAAACTTATACGATAATACAAATGTAATTACTTATATAATACTTTATATAATTACTCATAGACAAGCAGCATATCGTATCTTTCAACTTTTGCTATAATATTTTATCTACGAGTTACTCTTAGCATAATACGGATAATGTTACGTTATAGTCTCGAGAGGAAAATAACGCTTATTAATGATTCACCTTATAAACGAAATCAAATTGTATCATTCTTCTAAGGTTTCATTAAACACGTACCACGATAAATATTCGAAACCATATAGCATTCGTGTCTTAAATTCTTTCGATATATAAACGCATACTTTCTCTCTTCTCTTTATTAATAAATATTCGATTAGCATAAATACAAATGTCCGTTCGAAATAAATCGTTTCAACGATCGAAGTTGGCGCGTTTTAGTTTCCAGTTCGAGACCTTTGCCCGCACGAGCGCCATGATTTGAACGGTGTCCTCAAGACAATGGAGAGTAATTCACATATCTCTTGCATTCATACAGCGTCACATGCCGCGGGCTTTAGTGTTCAAAATTAACGTACCCAGTTTCCTGCTCAGAATTCCACTTGTACGCCCCGTATGCCTGTACGTTAACAGAGGCGGCCCCTGCGCGCATGCAACCACTCGCGCAACTTTACCGCGCGAGCCAACAATTTTATTAACATCTTCCTTGAATGCCTCTCATTCAAGCCACTTTTACCTCTCCCGCGTAATTTGCATCTTTGGATACCTGCGTTTGACGCTCGTGCGTTTCGTGCGATACAAAGCAAGAGGGAAACGAGAGATCTAAGTTTTCGTATTAACCTTTTGTCCCGGAGTTTGATAAATGTCGCGCGATATTTTGATACGGTTTATGGTGAATTCATGGTTGAAATTGGAAGAAATTTTCAAGAAAAAATTAAAAAAAATATTTTTTTCTTCTTTCTGTGATACGAATTATTATATAAAATTTAGAATTAATCTAGAAATTTATCTTTACAATGGAATCAGTCATTTTAATTACTTTTTTGAAATTGTAATCTATTAGAATTAGATGTATGGGAGTGTGTTAATGATTATAAATATCGATCAAAAAATTTTCAGAAAATATTTCAAATTGCAAAATAACGAAATGATGATGTTTCCCCTACCATTCTCTTCAAAATGGTTTTTTAGTTGGAGGGACAATTTACACGCGAATTCCGGGAACAAAATTACATTTACCACTTTAGTCGATCACCGCACACAGTGCGAATAAGTTCATAAAACTTATTTAACATAGGTAACAAGGTTTCTTGAAACGTAAAATATAATCTAACCAACATACAATTTAATTTATATTATTAATAAAAAATTAGTAATGAAAATTAAGCATCTCGTCAACCCTCTCCAATTATACAATTATAATCTACTTTACCATTAAAATTATTTCATTTCCCTGAGAAAACTAAACGAACGATTACGATTTCAAATACAATTTCAAAAAATTGAAAAATCCTTTTGTCAACTTTTTTTCCAACCGCATCTCAACACCTCGAAATCGTAGGCATCGTCGCAGTTACGGAATTTTTTTTTTCCCCCTCCTCTCGATTTTTGACTCTCGATTACCTTTCCCCCAATAGAATCGCGGCCAACATCGTTTGGTGTATCAACTGTGCACACGCACACACACGCACACATAGGCGCGCGGTGTCGGTCGATCGCACTTGTACGTCACACGGCTCACACGCGCATACACGTACACACCGGTAAATGGAGTTGATGACGGAGTCCGGTCAGTGCCTCAACTTCAAACAAACTTCGAGCCACCCTTGGGGTTCGAGGGATTGCCCGTGTAAACGACGCGTCGTTAGTTCCCTCCAGATGGAAGGAAGGGAAGGAGAGGGAGAAGGGAGAGGGTGAGATCACACGAGCGTGACTCGGGTGGTTCTTGCTCAGGACCTTTCGAGATTCAACGCGACAATTGAGCAGGACAGGTAACGCGTATCCGGTTGTCCAACCTCGGAACCAATTTTCAACATTTTGCCATCGAAAGAAAACTTTGCCTCCCTTTTTCAAATTTAGATAAGTCTGGAAATTAATTGCAGCTGCCTTTTCGAAATAAAATTATCATCATTTATTCGGTTAAGAAATTATTTGAATGTTCACTGTTATTTTTGTGTTATTTTTGTTTCATCTCTGATTTGATCAGAGGATTTTCGAATATAAAAAAATATTGCGTCATCGATATTTTTCTGTTAAACTTTTCCAAACGTTTGAGAGTGCGAAAGAAATAATTGATTCACGTGGTATTTTTTTATCTTCTTTTAAATTCATTAAATTCATTGCAAATGTTGCAAATGTTCGAATCAAAATAAATTATTTAATATAGAAGGATCGAAAATTAGAATATACTTTGTCTTTGATTTTGATTCAACTTTGCAAAAATCCAATTTCCAATTTCGATATTTCGAATATTTCTAGTCTTAATTTTTTCTTCGTTACTTTTTAAAAAACACCGTTTCATAAAAATTACATATACGATAGATTGAAATGAAAACTCGATCCTTGAAAGTATTTTTTACGCCACGTTTGATGCAAAGAAATTTCTGCGGCGAAATTAAAAATTATATGTATTTTATTGTACGTATTTTTATACGAGTATTTTATTATCACCGGCATAGACCAGGGAAGAAGTACATAAAGAATAAAAGCAGATATTTTCCATAGATGGTTTTATTTTCGAGGAAGATGTGTTTCATAGTCGAACGACTTCTCCATCATCATTTTCATTCATACCATATCATCGACTTGGAAAACTACTGAACTTTGCTCCTTTTGATTTTCACTCGTGTAATACACACAAAACCTAGAATTCCTAATCAACGATTAAAAAATCCACAGAGAAGAAGAACCTATAATAAATACGTACCAGTTTTCGCTTCATAGACTATCTACGTTGATATAGTCCATTAGTCACTGTGTTAATAATTGCAGAAGAAAAAGAAAGAAAAGAAAAAAAAAAATAAAAAAAATAAAAAAAACTCTTTGCACGTCGAAATAAATCGTTCGACAAACAGAAGACATCACTGTTTTTGTTTCGTCATTATCGTTAACATCGAGTCGTTAAATTTTATTATTATTAAAACCAACACACCCGGTGCGAATTCCGTGTTACTTGGTTTACATTTACGTAGATAAAAAACGTAGTGGAGCACTACATTTTTAATTTTTATCGAGTCTGACACGCGACTCCGAGCTAAGTGGCGACGAGAAACATATGAATAATGAGTGTAAATGTTTCCACCAACTTAAAAAAAATTTTTATTCTATCCGCGTTAACGTAAATGGTGAGATATTTACACGTGGATTATGAAAAGGAGAAAAAAAAGTGGGGAAACAATGTTTTAAACAGACACGTTGTAAATGTTTGGAAAAAGTTGAAGAGAATTTTTTTCTTACTATTGCATTATATTTATAATTTTTCCTTTTTATAAATATAATCGTTAAATCCTCTTTGGCAACATACATGGATGTAACGCGTTTCGTATAAATAATTAAAATAATTAAATCAACGATTTTCAGGGGATATATCCGAAGGAGGGCAAAACAGTTCTTACAACCTGATTCGTATAATTTTATTTAAATAACCGAAATCCAGATTCAGATAAGAGGATAAAATCTTATATCTAGCTCATATTTCGAATTACGATTGATTCTTTAATCTGTTTTTATTTTTGTTTGTCATGTTTAGATATTCGTATAATTGGAATGATAATCTTTCAGATAATTAGTTTATAAAATTTAGCAGAATCTACTTGATCGAGTATTGACGAAAATTTTGTATAAATTTCGAAAAAAAATATATATAATTCGGATAAATGGAATTTTATTAAAATAGTAATTTTTGCTAAAAGCATTCGATGATGTGTCGATTATTTTCGATTGTTTTTTATATTTTTATACGAACTAATTGCGAGACGTATCCGTATGATTTTTCGAAAAATTGGTCATAAAGAATCAAATTTGTCGATACGTAATGAAATCTAATTAAAAATTTAAAAAATTTTCACATAGATATTTATTGGATAAAAGAATATAATATATTTCATGAATTAATTATCAAATATTCTACTAATAAAAAAAAAAAAAAAAAACCAATTCATCGTTTTTGAATACTCTTTAAAAAATATTATATTATAAGTTAAATACGTATTCGACATTCTCTCTCCCTGATATTTTGATAACGATAATCGATAATCGATCTAACTAATAAAATTTTGCAACCGTGGAAAAGAATCTTTTTCACTTTTTCGCTCCCGAAATTTCTCTCCCTATCCAATCGTAACCAAAAACTTTCCTAAAAGAAAAAAAAAAAAAAAAAAAAACCAATTCATCGTTTTTGAATACTCTCTAAAAAATATTATATTATAAGTTAAATACGTATTCGACATTCTCTCTCCCTGATATTTTGATAACAATAATCGATAATCGATCTAACTAATAAAATTTTGCAACCGTGGAAAAGAATCTTTTTCACTTTTTCGCTCACGAAATTTCTCTACCTATCCAATCGTAACCAAAAACTTTCCTAAAAGAAAAGAAAAAAAAAAAAATTCCCCAAAAACCAAATCGAACAACAATCCCTTCGAACAAAGTACATCCAACCTACTTTCTTCTTTCACCATCTTCATCCACCCTATCCTATCGTTCACCAATCACAACACCCGAATTACACCCTTTTTACGCCCTTAACCCGCGAAAATTGAAAGAATCCTAGGCAGAATTCCGCCTATAAACCGCGGCAAAGCCTTTTTTTCTTTTTCATTCTCAACCCTGCTTTGAATTTGCGCGCCTAAAAGCGAGAAAGAGAGAGAGAGAGAGAGGAGCGAAAAACCGATTTCTCTCTCGCACTTCCCTGGCCATCGCTTTTGA